GTGAGAGATCTACAATGGTAAATAATAATTGCCTTACCGATTCCATGGACCTCGCTTTCATTTTGTTTGTAGCGAACTCGGGACTAGCTGAAGGTTCGTAGCTGTACAGCAGTAATTCGTGCAAAAGCATGTGAATCTCTGGAATGACTTGGATTTCCTGCGAGTTGAGCTCCGCTATTACCTCTATGATATTCACCAGCCCCAGACGAACAGCTCCAATTATCTTGGCTGCAACTGCCATCCTCTCTTCCTTCTTATGTTTAATCCACTGCATCACTTAGGAAGAAAAGGGCAACAGCTGCGCCTGATACTGTGTTGTTCAATTATTACAATTTTTTTTCACCGCAATACACTACGTACATTATATATCTTGGCTTGACAAACTTGAAAATACATTTAAGTAACACGGGAGACTGCCGGAAGTTAATAGTTCTTTTCCCAGGCAGTTACAACAGATCTTTTGTCTGTACTGACTAGCCCGAGATGCTAAGACAAGAGCTTTTTAGTTGATTATCAAGGCTCGCCAGAATTTGTTCCATTCTTCGGCCGCAGTCCACGTCTGAAAACGTCTGAGTACTTAAGACACTTAAATTCAATTGACTTTACTCTTTCAAGGAGTATTGTTTTATCCACTTTACATTTAAAGATGTACAAACAAATTTACATTTGTCACGCACCTCAATTTTTACCGTCAGTAAAGTTCATTGCGGTTTCTGATGATCGTGTAATAGTTACATGAGTTACAACGATGGACATTCAAGGACAATTCCGCAAAACGTCAAGCTCATGCATTTCAGCGAGTGCCTAACTTGAACCTAGAATTAACGTGGAGCGTAAAGTTGATTGTAACCCTAAGTTTAAAACAAAATTCGTTAAATCGTGCTAGTGTGTAACCATTTTAGGTTTAATGTTTTTGCGTAATGTTCAACTGGTATCTCTCGATCTCGATCTTTAAAAAACAACAACTGAAGCTTCGAGCGAGCTTCGATGCAAAGACCTTGACTGAAATCTCTGTATCATTTGCTCTTGCATTTAACCGCAATCTCAACTGAATGTTTGCATTTGTTGATTGCATGGCTGGGTCTGTAAAGTACTATGAGCCATAAAATGTCTAACATACACATTGGCAATGCTTCAGTGTACCTAAATAATCAGTAATTACGTGTAATAGAACTGTGCACTAGAATGGAAAATATTTGTACGCAAGAAAACAGTGCACATATCCTTTCACTTCTACTGAGTTATTTAACGCTTCGTGAGTCAAAGAAACAACACAAGACGATAAACCAACGAATTTATTGAGCATAATAAATGTACATTGAAATGTAAAGATAACAGGTTGAGTCATTCTGACTAAGAATTTAAATGAAAGGGTCTCACCGTCAATTGTCAACATCAGGACACTTATAACATCAAGTTTTACTTTCTTACGTTCGCTAGGTTCGTGGTCCTAAAATCTCGCAGTAACCATAAACATATAAACACACTTACTGTAAGAATAACCCTTATGATTGCAACTTTATTTTAATTACGGATGCTCTGGGCCACTTTTCATGCAGACAGAAAATGTTAATAAAGTCAACAGGTGGTTTGCATGTTACGTCCTTGGTGGATGTAAACAATAGATATCTCATTAGCTTCTTTTGTTCGTCCATCAGCATTTGTTCCTTTCCCCATTGTTACCTGTGTCTCTAGAGATTGATTGCAAACCACCTATAATGTTTCTACACTTACAAACGTCTCTTGCAGCGAAACGTACGGTATGGTTCTTCATCCCATCCTTATACCTTAGCGCGCTCAATAAAATCATATTATAGCTCCAAATTAATGACTGTATAAAACGCGAAAGACGATTAAACTAGGTTAAAAATCTACTTTCAGTCTCATTCATATACATCGAAAACTCTATCGTTATTATTAAGGTAAAAGAGCGCGATTTTGTGTGATCATGCTAGTCCCTAAATTATCTGAGGTGAAAAATCAAGAATGAAAATCGGTACTTTGAATCAGATCTCCTACCTCTGCTAATTTTGAAAATCCGAAAAAGCGATCGAGATTAAAGAAAGGAAAACAAAATGGGTGCATCCCAGTCCCTCCCAGTCTAAACCATGCATTAAATGTTATATCGGTGTGATTTTGTAGTTCCAAGACAAGCGTAATCAGCAGAAAATTTTTTGAAATTTCATGCTTTCATGACATTTTATGATATAGTGAAAATTTTATAAACCTAACCATTCAGCTCTGACACTTAAAATTTTGACTAAGTCATAACTTCCTTTTGACCCTTAATCCAGCTTCGAGCTTCGTTCATTTTAAGTCTTCTTTTTTGACAGGCAAATAACACAAGACTGCCTGATCATAAACAGTTGTTATGTTTTCCCATCCATCAAGATTAACCTGATGTGTGTCCTTTGGTTGAACTCTAATCCCACTGTCAATTAGAAATTTATTAATGATAAAATACACTCTCCCCTCTATTTCCACAGCGTTGAGATTGTTG